CGGTCATGGGGCCTGAACTCTGGGCCTGGGCGCTGTCCCTCAGCTCTTCAGCTCAAGGCTAGCGCTCTACCACTTGAGCTACAGCGCCACTTCCGGATTTTTTCTTTTTGCTTATGTGGTGTTGAGGAATCAAACCCAGGGCCTCAGGCATGCAAGGCAAGCACTCTACCACTGAGCCAACTTCCCAGTCCCTGGCTGCAGACTCTAAGACCATCAGGCTCCATCTCCATGGAAGCCTGGTGTGAGACAGTCAGACACTGCTTTGTTGGTAAAGTGTCCAGCCTGTTGCTTATATGGTCGTCCTTAAGTGATCTTGGAGACAGCAAGGTGTCTTTGGTAATCTCCAAGGTTTGGTGGCAAGGGTTCATACTAAGTCATCATGGCTACCTGCATCAAGATTCAAAACAAGGAGCATGTGACTAAGACCCTACCAAGAGCCAAGTTCAAGTTTCCTGGCTACCAGCAGATTCGCACTTAAAAGAAATGCAACTTCCCCAAGTTCAATGTAGATGAACCTGAAGACAGGATAGCTAAGAAACAGCTTGTCCAGAATGTCTGTAAGGTCAGCTACTCCAGGAGCAGTTTCCTGGACAAGTAGTAGACCTTTCTATAGTGAGGGCTTCCACATTGCTGTCCCACATTGAGGCATAGAACTCATAAAATTGCTTTATAAATTGTGAACTTCCATTGCTAATCATAGCAAATGGTTAAGAATGTTGGCTCTAGCTGAGCACAGTAGCTCAAGCCTGTAATCTAGCTCAAAAGGGCATATAGGTTTGTGAGATTTCATCTGAAGCAATGGCTAGGCATAGTGGTCCATAGCCATTATCCCAGGGACAAAGGAAGTACAAGGCTGGGCACAGTAGGACATCCCTATTGTCCTCAGTGACCCTGAGAAGTACACATTAGGAGTACTGCCGCCCAGACATAGAAACTCTTTTTTAAACAACCAGGGCAAAAGGGGACAGAGGTATGGCTCAAGTGGTAGAATACCTACTTTGTGTGCAGGAGATCCTGAGTTCAAGCTCCAATACTTCAAATAAATAAATAAAGTGGCTCAGGCATCAAACTGTAACTTGAATATGTTAATTATGTTTGTTTTCACCTTAAGTTTCTCTAGCTCTGATAGGATCATTGAAGTGAGAGGATCCAATAGCACAGATAATACAAGAAAGCATTTAGTGCATTGTTTGGCCCATTGTCATATCATCGTCAATGGAAGCTAGTATCATTGTCATTCTGAGGCAGGGTAAGATAAGGCTGAAGGAGACATCAAAATCATAATATATACATTATAAAAGAATCCAGAGGCAGAAAGCAAAACAGAACCAGAAACTAAGGATGAAAATCACTAGAGTAGCAAGGAATTGGATGAATCAACTATTCAAGAATTTTATATACATGCATCCCATTGTTTGAGTTTCAAATGAGATACAATTTCCTTAGATGAATAATTTGGTCTTTCAGTAAGAGGTAAAAATAATCACTGATAAGATGCAGATATCTTTTTCACAAGACATTTTACTGTGAAGCCACCCTAGACCCATTGTCTTTTTGAGTTATAAGATTATAACAAAAGCTTAGACAAATGATTGAAGGTCTCCAGGCAACCACTTACATAAATGAAAGTTTAAACTGAAATCCACAGCCTCTGAAGTATAACCAGTTCTGGGAAAAGGACAGCCTGTTGAATCTCTTAACTTTCAACCTTTGTATGACAAAGGGTGCTCCCCCCTACTTCTATTTCTCTCTACTTTGTTCTAAATCTTTGCTGGTCTTCTACTTTGTAGGTCTTATTTTGTGAAAGTCTGTGAAACTCTTTTCATCATAGATTTCAAGATCTTGTAGACCCTGGAGATCCTGAGGAACTGAGTAGGGAAAACCTCTCTTTCTCTGGGTATTCTTCTCATTCTATTCTCTGGTGACATTTCTCTGTGTCAGTGTTAGAGGAACTTGAAGATCAACCAGCAGGCTCACATCATTCCCGCTGACTGACAAGGCTGGTTATGGATTCTTAAGATGGTCAAACACAGTTCTTGGTAGGAATTCACTGTTACAGATCTGATGTGCTAGGAAGGTCACTTTCTATTCTGGCCTGAAACACACATTGGAGAAAGAGAGAAGGGAAATAGCTTTGAAAGGTATTTCTTAGTGTCATGGATAGGGACTGGTTAACACTTGATTCAGGAAAGAGAGTGAAAGGAAATAAAGACTCCTCCAGGAACCAGGCCTTTGCAGCAAGAAGAAAGACAAGTGAGAAACCCAGATTCCTAGGAGACACAGGACAAAGGACCCAGCCAACAGGCAGGAAGAGGCTTGGACTGCATAGACTAGAAACAACGTACTATAACCAGAGCTATGTGGGCAGCAGACCCAGGGGAGAAGCTACAATTTGGGAAAGAAACTTTGAGTATCTGAAAACCTTCTCCTTTAAGATGGCAGAACCTTCTGGATTATGTAAGAGACATAACTTCAGGCTACCCTTTGATCATGAAAGTCACTGATGAGGTCAATACCTGGTAACTCAGAGGACTTTTGCTCTTAGATATTTTTCTACCCTTTTTTTTGTCAAAATTCTCCTTCCTTAAAAGAAAGAGTTGGAGAATATTTTCCTTCTAATATATGAAGTTGTTTGAACAAAATGGGAATGATTTTGCCTTTTCTGGGATTAAATTTATCAGCTAGGTCTACTATTTTGTGTGTGTGTGTGTGGAAAGATCCAAAGTTTTAAGGTAATTATAGACTAATGTTGAAATTACATTCTTCTGAGAATTTGTTCATTTATATCAGGTTTTACATTTCACTGCTGAAATTGCCCAGAAAATTCTCTTACTATCTTTTCTAGTTTATGGTATACATAATGTAGATTGATGTTCATTTGTGTTATGGTCCATGTATGTACACGGTTTTATCCCCAATTCTTATTTTTCTTATTAGTGTCTTACCTCTTTAAAAAAGAAAACAAAGGGGCTGGGAAGGTGGCTCAGTGGTAGAGCACTTGCCTTGCATTCATGAGGCCCTGGGTTCGATTCCTCAGCACCACATAAGCAGAAAAAAAAAGCCGGAAGTGGCATTGTGGCTCAAGTGGTAGAGTGCTAGCCTTGAGCTGAAGAGCTGAGGGACAGCGCCCAGGCCTAGAGTTCAGGCCCATGATTGGACCCCCTCCCCCAAAAAAAGAAAGAAAACAAAGACTGTGTTTATTAATTATCCTCATAGCCTATGTTCCCAAGAAGACTGTCATATGATCAATCTAGATTATAATGATAAATTGAATTCCACAAGCATTTAGAGTCCACAAATATTTATTAAGCCACTACAGATAGGGAATTTAGTTCACCATTATCCCTGCACTCAGAACCCAATGAGCAGAATACTCAGTATTTACTGGGCAAGCCATCAGGTCTGAAGTGATTGGGGTCCTTGCCACTCCGGCCCCATTCATTGGCAAATTGGTCAGCCCTCCAATCCTCTGCTCCACGGCCTGTCAATCTCTGAAAATTCTCTCTGGCATCACTGCAATCAGGGCAGACAGAAAAGAGATTAATCTCGAGGGTGAGAAGCCGTAACCCCACTTGGTCCAATCTCTTTGCAAGGAATGTTAGAGGAATCAAGAGGAATCCAGAAAGGCCAAAGAAAAAGGGGGTTGAGATACTGGCCCAGGCTATTCACCCCTGCCTGGAGAAACAGTACAGAGGCAGCAGATGGGAAGTGGGTGGAGAGAGATGATTCATTGCTACCAAATACTCCAACTCCAGGGAGACTGGGCAAGAGGAGGGGACTTCATTCTCTATGGGAAACATCTATGTAGACCAGAGACTGAGAGACTTCCCCTTCCTAACTGTCCAAAGTAGTCAAGATTTACTCACCCAGGCCTAGCACCCCCAGAATCTGCCTTACCTGATCACTTTAGCAGCCCAGACGCCCCCAGGTCCTCTTTGGGCTGCATCATAGTTTCCCCGGGCATGGAAGTATTTATCTGCCCCTATCCAGTTGGCTTCTTTCATGTCAGAGTAAGCTCGCCACATGTCTCTAGTCCCTGGAAAAGAAAGAGAATGATGAAGATGATCATGTTTTGACAAAACAGAGGAAATAGAAATTTTCCTCCAATCCCAAAGATTTCAGTCTTTGAAAAAGCCTTTGTATTGGCTCAAAATAAATATTCATTTTCCTTTTACATGTCTGGTCAATGCAGTGGACAATCACACTTGGCATAAGTTTTATTCTATCTGATCTCATTAGTAGTTTTATTGCTATTTTGTGGACTGTATGTGGTACATATAAAGAAGAGATGGGATGTTTCTTTGCATAATAAAGCATTCTATTTAGAAAGAGTCAAGAAATCTCTGGCCAAAGGGTAAAAACATGGGATTTCTGAGGGAGGCTGTAGAATCTGAGCCAATGAAAAATTGACTAGGAATCGAATGTAGTCAATGAAGAATTTCATCCTTGGGGGACGAATGAGAACAGCTCTGTCCCGGGTGTTTCTGAGTATCCAGGGTACACATGAACTTGGTCAATCATCAGAATCTCCCTGAGACACAAGTAAATAAACGGGATAATGTGACGTAGAAAAATGGACAACTGACCACTAAATTCAAAACTTTAGTTTTTCCTCCTTGATAAAATGGTAATGCCTCAGGGGTGATGCAGAAGACCCAAGAAAGACAAATATAATTTGTAGACTTTGGTGGGTACTCAGTGTATTTTCACATCTCTGGTCTTTAGGAAAGGTGGCAGAAAAAAAGAAAAAAAAAGGATAAAACTAAGATCAGTGGGAACTATTGACAGATGGAATCGGATCATATTAGAATTAAATAGGGGCTGGGAAGGTGGCTCAATGGTAGAGTGCTTGCCTTGCATGCATGAGGCCCTGGGTTCGATTCCTCAGCACCACATAAGCAAAAAGAAAAAAGCCGGAAGTGGTGCTGTGGCT